GAGCTGATCTCTTTAGCTAATGGCTATACTTTTTGCTATGAAATTATTCTTCTAGGACTGACCTTTCATGGGAAGCTTTTCCAACTCCTTTGTAGTAAAGGAGACCATTTTGGAGCAGGTGCCCTCAATCTTGTTGCCAGCTTGTGCCAAAACACTTTCTTGTCAGCCTGCTCATTTGTACTTTTTAAAGGACAGGTAGGCTGCAAATATAGGGAAGATTTTGAAATTGCCTCTTTGAGTACAAAAGCTGCATAAATGTTTTAACTAAATACTGAAGTCTCTAGTTCTTCCAGACAGATCACAGTTGTGTTAAAAATTCATCTGTTTGGGCAGGTTAAGTTACTCCAGTCGCTCTTACAGCAGTCAGTTTGATGGTAGTATTTATTGAAAGGAGCTCCAGTCGTTGGAAGACAGCAGCAGGGCTGCTGTTAATAGTGCAGTGCAGAAGAGCCCATAGTGCTCTTCAGGAAGAGTTCTTAACCTCAGACAACTGGCACTTGTTTTGGAAATCAGAGGGAAGCTGTGACTTGAAACCAGCATAGCAGGAGGAGGAGTTGTGGTTCCAGCTAATGGTGTGAAGTGGATGATGAAGGCGGCAGGAGTAAGTGTTGGAAATTACACACAGCTCTAGACCACAAGACTGCAATTTCTCTTTAATGATAAGTATCCTAGTAGAGATTATTTTTATAGCTGAGAGACTGCAGTAGTTTTTCTCTCCGCGTCTGATGAGTTGGATGTGACAATATGAACTACGGCTGCCCTTAAAGCAGATTATTGTATTTCTGAGAAAGGGATTGCCTCAACTCTGCAACTCAAAATGGTTAGGAGGTTGCTAAAAGCTGAATTGCTTTGCCAACCACCAGGCTACTCGCTTGCATTACTCGCGGTACTTTGTCTTACGCGCCTGCACGATCAGGCCCATGCTCAGAAGTTGCTGCTGCTTGTGTTGCTGGGGAAAAAAGGTACTGGAGTAACAAGTGTGGCTTCCTTAATAGGTGCCCAGGAAGGGAAGTGCAGTTAACCAGCGCCACAGCGACTTCCCTGGCCTGGTCTGCAGGTATTCCCTGAAAGACCTAATTAGCACTAGGTATGGTGTCTGGTGCTAATCAAAGGTTCAGTTCTTTCATTTCCAGAATAGTTAGGGAGAAGCGATGTAAAGATTCATCAGTCAGTTTGTACTACACCAACAAAAAGGGAATTACTACAACATTAGTTGAACCAAAGGAGAAACGTTGCTTAGGTACATAAGCACAATGACAGTTATTCTACACCTTGTTCTTCAGAGCACTAGTGTGCTGCAGGAGTCAAATCACACGATAGCTGTGTAATGGAAGGTATTACACAGTTCTCCAAGCAACTGTCTTGACTTCCTGTGTACCTGAATGTGTAACAAATTGCACTAAATCCAGCAGTTGTCTGGTGCTGGGAACACAGATCAGCATCTGCCTCATCCCTCTCCTTCTCTGTTCTTTCATCCGATGACATAACTGTAGGTTATGGCACTGGCTTGTTCTGAGTTGGGATATATTTATACGTATTATGCTCTAGAACTCTAGCTTGTTTTAAGGTAATGGGTATGGATATGGATAACTGTTAGTTACAGTAGCAGTTCTAAGGGATCTTAACCTTTTATTCTGATGCAACTACAGCCAGAACCTCATGTTTGTGGCTGACTTGTCTATGTCGTTCTAAAGCTTAGGGCTTATTCTGAACCAAAAGGCACAACCTGAGGTCAAAAACATCCACAAGATGACGTAGTACTCTCAAAGAGAAGGTGTTATGCCTAAAATCTCCCTACTAAAACTTGAATGTTAGAGAATGCAACAAGAATAGTTGCACAGAGCAGTGGGCAAAGTTGCTGTCCTCTCTTGTAGGAGAGAAGTTCTTTGTACAGGCACAATGAATCCAACTAAGCCTTCTACCCTGAAAGCAGATCAAGACAACAGATAATCATATTTTATAACATTTTATTAAAAAAAAAAAGCTTTCTAAAATACAGGACATGTCCAAGGCCTTTTCCTTAATTTTCTTCAAGAGTCCCTTGAAGTATTTCATGGTGTGTGATGTGCGACATCCTCTAATTGACCATGACTAAAGAGCTGTTCTTCCTGGTACTGCATTGATGCTGTCTGTGTAGGCCGTCCATACTGGAAAGTACTCTGTTCTGTTAAATTCAAAGGGAAACTCTAGGACTTCCATGTATAAGCATAATCCTTCATTTCTAGAAATCGAATAGAAGATTTTCCCAGAGCTGAAAATTGACTCAGTTGATCCAGAGTTTTAGGATGCAGTCCACACCGAGAAAGATCTCTGCATACAGCTTCCTAAGGAAGGTCAGATAAAAAGACATGTATTACACACTTCTGTTTGAAAAACCATAGTTCTCAGGTGCTTGCTCATGTAGAGCTGGGGAGCTCCTGCACTGTTAGTTTTCTGATGCTTCCACTGCTGAGGGAGCGCCAACCCGCAGAGACTGCTAAGTGTTGATCGAAGTAAAGGCATAAACAGTTGTGTTGCCCTCAGTGCCCTAAGGTTTCTAATAAAGACACTCAACCTGTCAGGAAAGGCCATCTCTGCCGGCTCGCTTACCTTACTGAGGGCAGCGCGCGCATCGTCCAGCCGCGTGTTGAACACGGCGGTCGGCTCGTGCGTGTACAGCACTGCGGAGAAAGCCCCTCGCTGGGCAGACTGCAGCAGCAGCGTCAGCAAGTGCAGAGAATGGGGCATGACGGGGCCTACGATCTCCAGGCTGAAGACGTCCTCGTACGACAGGCGAGCCCTTGCTTTTGCACTCATACTTCGAGCCTGAAGAGAAGACCGTGCACGAATAGTGCTTCACACATCCATTAAAGTTTCCATGAAGTTTAATACTGCAATACTATACTCCTAGTGAAAGCTTTCAGAATATCTTTAGCTATTGTCAACTTAATATATCTGAGCATTATAATGGTTTCATTGTCTTGTAATTACTCTTAAAAGGTACTCACTGTAGCATGCAGAAATACTCGACACTACTAGGGAAGTTAAGAGTTTTCATGTACACAATATGAACTATGTCTGATGGAACAGGACTGCAATACCCTCATTAACAAATTCCTTAGGATCTGCCACCTCCTTCTATTGACAGATGGTGGGATGTGGTTCAGAGGCTTCCTCACGTAGGCAGCCACAGCAGTTTGCTAGTTCTACTTTGCTAGTTCTAGTATTCAAATAAGACTTACTTGGGAACCATTTTCATAGCAGGGAAGTTTATCTAACATTTATACATCGGGATGTAGAGGAAGGAAATACTGGGATTTCAGTTCAGTGGCACAGACCTACCTGGATGAAAATAATTTAGGACATAGACCATACTGCAGGAAAAATACTAAGTAAGTAAGTCAAGCTATAGCAGCAAAAATCACTCTGCTGTAGCTGAAGCAGATGTAGTGACTACAAAGACAGTGTCTAATCTACTGCTGAGCAAAGAAAGAGCCTTCTTGTCCTTATTACAAAAACTGTTTTGTCACTTACTTTGAGTGTCTGCATTGTTGCACCTCGAAAAGCAACGGGGGACAACAGAGTTGGTGGAAGCCCTGCTTGTGGACCTGCAGCAGCCACTAAACTCTTACAGTTTATCAAGAAGTTCAGCAATGTGAACGTGTTTGTTCCTTTCACTACTGCAACAGACTCGGGCTTGTGATCCATCTGCACTTCGTTTTTCTCTTTGCGACTATTATTGATTGGAGTCAAAGGGAAAACACGGAAAGCCGAAAAGCTTTAACGCACGAACGCAAGAATCACAGCAGGGCAAGACTGAGAGGCCCCCTAACCCAAAAGTTATAAAAACCACCCCACCCAACCACACACCCACTCCTAAACTCTACACTAACAACTCTTAACTCTTCCTAACTCCACTCCTAACTCTACACTACACTAATCTGAGTTGTTTGTTCTTCAGATGCTAAGCAGCAACTTCAATAAATTCGGAGATCGGGTTTGAAGTTGTAGAGTTGAAGAAAAAAAACAAACAGAACAAAAAGTCCAGATCTGGAATTTCGTAATAGATCTAAGTCTAATAGATCTTGACATGCAAATAAAGGATACATTTTAATGGAAATAGCATCCGGCTTTTTAACCTTGTCTTGGACTCCCATCTCCTCAAGCCAAGAGAAACTTTCTTCATCATCATCATCGTCATCACTTGGAGAAGGTTCCCTAGGAAACACAGACCCAGGTATTAGAAAGGCACCACTTCCCGTTAATGTTTTCTGAATTGAATATGAAGGAGGATGTGGACAGCTTTGAATTTTTGATGTTTTTCAAAACTTATTACGTACTCTCCATCTTCAGTGCTTTTGCCTGCTTCAGGGCTGTGAACAACCTCTGTTTCCATATTCACTTCAGAGTTCTTCTGTTTTCTGATTCTACTTTCTTCTACTAAAGGTAAAGAAAACTCTATGCCTTGAAGAGGAAAGAAAAAAATATTTTTTAAACACCGAGGCAGCGCACTTTGTTATTCATATCCTAGCTGCATTAGTTTCATCTAACCTTCACTTCTCATGGCTTCCCTTAAACCTCTAGTCGTGGGAGAAATGACAGCTGTAATAACGTCGCTTCCTGCAAGACCAGCTGCTCGAAAGAGGACAGTAAACTGGTAGGTGCATACGTAGAAATAGGGACATAGTTTGGCTTTGAGCAGATTGTACAGAGAAGTAAAGCTGACGGACCTGCAAAGCAGAATAAAACAGCTCTGTTATTGGCGTAAGTTGTTGGACGCAGATTAAAACCCCAGTGTTAACAGAAACGCTCCTGGTTCCACTTACCACTCACTCATGAGCACCTGCTGCAAGGCCTCATCCTGCGCCCACGGACAGGCC